CAGGGGGCAGCTCCTGCATTGATGGGATCAGGCTGAAACCAGCTCTCAGACATCCCCCGAGGGGTCCTGGACTGAGAGAGGGTGCAGGCCAGGCCAAGGGACCCCACTGGTGCATGATTGGGCTGGGGAGGGACACAGGAGGTTGGCCAGCTGGGGAGGGACCACAGGAGGGCTCCAGGGCATGTCTGGCCCATCTCGTTCAGTACTGATCGGCCAGACCCTGGCAGCAAGCTAACCTACTGGTTGGAGCATTGCCCCCTGGTGGTCAGTGCATGTCACTAGCAAGCGGTTGAGCAGCCTTAGCATATCATTAGCATATTATGCTTTGATTGGTTGAACAGATGACTGGACGACCGGACACTTAGCATATTAAACTTTTATTATATAGGATTCTCATGAGATCTTTGTTTTCATTTAATCCAGCTTTCTCAACCTTAACACTATTGATATTTGTGCTGGATAATTCTTTATTATGGGGGCTGTCCTGTGCATTGTAGGATATTCAGCAGCATCCCTGGCCTCCTCCCATTCATGCCAGAAGCACTTCCTCCCCCAGTTGTGACAACCAAAAATGTCAGCTGATTGTCCAATTTGGGGGGACAAAATTGCTCCTGGCTGAGAACCAGTAGTTTAAACCTTTCCAATAACCAGATGAGGGAGGTACTATTTCTATGTCCAAGGGGAAGGTGACATGCCCTCTGCAGCCAGTTCTAAGGCAGCAGTGGTGATGGGAGGAGCAATTTTGTCTTGTCCTTGAGAAACCCTCAAGGCAGGGAGGGTCCCAGGTGTGTGCTTTTCCTGTTGAGGAGCTGATACATTATTTTCTGACCTTGGCTGGTGAAACATGATTTTCTTGGCCATTCGGTGCTCTCTCTCCTTAATATTTTTATTGATGTGTTGCCTGAAGCATCATTTCCTTCCCTAAATTCAGCTAAATCCATCTAGAAATCTGACACTGATCCAGGGAATACACAGAAGACTCTTAAAAAGGAGTCAGGGAGAAGGTGAGAGAGGTGAGTAGAAATGCAGGAGAGGTAAGAAAACGTTAATATCTGAATTTCCACACAAAGGCAATTGGGACAATGTAGTTTCCAGGGGCATCAATGGGACTGGCGTTAGAGACCTGGGCTCTGTTATTAACTGGCCCTATGACCTTGTGCGACCTATGCTTCTCAGCAGGACAGTCCATGGCATTTGGGGAGGAACATTCTTCATATGGAACTGCCCCCAGGCTGCAAGTTTTAGCATCCCTGGCCTCTACCTACTGAGTATCAGTACTGGTTTCATCTTTATTTGAACTTTTGGTATTTGCTTCACTGTGTATTTTTTGCATGAATTTTGATATTTTTAATATTGCATTAAAATAGTATTTATCCTGATTACTGAACTTTTTGTGCTCCAGCTGAATACCTTGTTCTCCTCACCCCAGTCCTGGTCCTGGTTAGTCATGCATCCCAGTGACTGTGCCAACCAAAGACACCGCCCCTGCTCCACCCATTTCCACGCGTGCTCTAGAGGCTGCCACAGTCCCAAATGGACTGAGGTGGCCTTGGCTAACTGGGTGGCCACACACTCATGTCTCCTTTGCCTTGGTGGCTCCCACACATCCTGCTGAGCCAGAAGTGGCTCTGGGAATTCTTCCCCCAAGAGGGAGATGCCAACCTATGTTAGGCACATTAGAGTCTCCTGGGAAGTTAAAACTTAGGACACAGAGACCCTGAGAATTGGGATCTTGTGTGGGAAGGTCATAGAGAAGAGATGAAGTGGACTTACTTGGCTCTTATGGTAGAGCAAAAAAATGGATCATGCCAGAGAGAGAGAGAGAGAGAGAGAGAGAGAGAGAGAGAGAGAGAATGAGATTCAAAGAATATTCCAACAGCTTTCCTGTTCTGGTTCCAAACCCTTGTGAGGATGGGCAATATTACCCCCTACCTCCTCAAATTTCATGTCTACCCTAATTTGGAAATAGGATCTTTGTAGATGTCCTTAGTTAAGATGAGGTCATACTTATTAAGGTGGGCCCTTATCCCAATGACTGATGTCCTCGTAAGAAGAGATGACACAGAGACATACAAAGAGAAGACTGTGACGACAGAGGCAGAGACTGGAGTGAGACATCTACAAGCCAAGGGGCCCAAGGGTTGACAGGAGCCCCCGAAGCTGGGAGAGGCAAGGAAGGATTCTCCTCTAGAGGCCGACACTCCTGGCCTCCAGACTGTGAAAGAATTTCTGTTGTTTGGAGCCACCAAGTTTGTGGCAATTGGCTAGGGCAGCTCAAGGAAACGACTACAGTGCCCTGGGGCTCCAGGAGTCTCCACAGTCCTTCCAGTAATGGCCTGTTTTTGTTTTGTGCTTACATCAATTGGATGGGTTTTGTACCTTTCGGCCATACTATTGGTGGGTAATGGTGGTGTGGGGCGGGGGGTTCGGCGGCTATAAAATGAGAAAGTTGAACTGACCTGGTAGCTCTCAACCCTGGCTGCTTATCACAATCGTGAGAAGGATTTAAAAAATGATCAATGCCAGAGCCCCATACGAATCGAATCGGAATTTCAAGTGGGTCATGTCTGGATTTGGCTATATCCCCCCTCATTCTTTTACTGTTTTATGTTTGACCTTTTACTTTTTGTGGTGATAGTTTTATTGAGATATAAGTCACATACCATACAATTCACCCTTTCAAAGTACTATTCAGTTATGCAACCATCATCACAATTAATGTTAGAACATTTTAATCACCTGCAAAAAATACCTCCGTACTCATTAGCTGTCACCCCCTTCCCGTTAGGACTGTTCACTCGCCCGCATATTCCCAGGGCCTGCCTGCACAGGGCCTGGCACCTAGCGCATGCTCATTCAAGGATGGCATCTGAAAGTTCTGCTATGGTTGCAGACTCTACCGTCAGAACAAGAGTGTGTTGAGTGCTCCTACCTTTGCATTTGTGATCCCGTGTTACGTCATGGCACAGTCACAGCAACAATGTGAGGGTGGCCTTATTGGTCTTATTTTACAAACAAGGAATTTAAGGCTCAGAGAAATTAAGTTGCTCCATGAAGATCATCTAGCTGGTCATCCTGGATTCAAACCCAGATCACTGTACTCTAAAGTAGTGGTTCTTAGGCAAGGGTCAATTTTCCCAACCCTCCTACCCTCCCTCCCTCCCACACCACATCTAGAAACATTTGGGGTTGTCGCAACTGGGAGGGAAGGGAATGCTACTGATGTGCAGTAGGCAGAGGCCAGGGATGCTGCTAAACAACACATAGGACAGCCCGCTGTCCCAGCAGAGACTTACCCAGCCCCAAATGTCCCTCGTGCTGAGGCATTTAGAGTAATGCCCTGTTCTAAAGTGAGTTGTGCTGCATTTCTAGCTCGATAATAGGTATCCACTGGATATCAGGTGCCTCTTGTACTAACTTGTGAGCTCCTTGAAGTAGAACATCGTTGTTTGTTCATCACTGCATGCCTAGCACCTGGCAGCAATGCAGCCTCTTGAGACATAGGTACTTCGTGAACAGACAAAATGGCAAAAACATTCGAGTCAACGACAGTGGGGGATGCTGGTCCTTGCCAAAACCAAGGCAAGGTTCATGAGACAGACTTGTGTTTGTTCCTTCAATAAAACCTTCCTCTTAGCACCTACCAGGCCCTCATTCCTGCCCTCAAGGTGTATGGAGTTTACAGGGGGACATATATGAGTCAACAGGAAATTATTTGGTAAGGACTTTGGTGAGAGTAACCCCCTGGAGGGCACCTAGCCCATCCAGGAAAGGCTTTCTTGGGAGAAGGGGCCAAATTAGCTATGACCTGAAGGATGGATAGAAATGTGTTTGGTTAATATAATAATAATGATAATAATAATAATAATAATAATAATAATTAATAATGTCAATAATTTATTAAGCATTTACTATAGGATGGGAACTATGCTAAGCACTTTATGTTTTCTTTCCTTCGTCAATTCCACAACCCTATGAGGTAAATACCACTACTGTCCCAGTTTACAGATGAAGAAATTGAGTTTTGGTGAAGTAACATAACTTGCCCAAGGTCATGTCATTAATAAGTGATAGATCTAGGTGTGACTCCAAAGTCAGCTTATAACCACCATACTCTACCTGTTCCCAAGCCGGATAATAACAGTGATAATTGCTAAAACTCACTGGACTCTTACTTTGGACCAAGTATCAAGCTAAGCACATGGCTTGCATTGTTTCATGTATCACAATGAGATTTATACCCAATGAGTTAGGTACTACTATTACTATGACCACCCCATTTTCAGAGGAGGAGAAATTGAGCCTCAGAGAGGTAAAGTAAATTGCCGAAGGTCAAGGCCGTGGCCAGGATTAGGACTTGAACTGGACCTGCCTGACAGAGTTGTGTTTGAATCACAGGATCAGGGAGCACTGCATTGCAAGAATGTGGTCGTGTTAGGAGACCAGATGAACACTGTCTTCCAGCCTCAGGGAGTACAGATGGGGCAGGCTGGGGGCTCTGAGCAGCTGGAGTCCCAGATGGTTACCTGGGATGGCGACCAAGTTCTGCAGCTCCTGCTTCAGGTCCATGATGTCGTTGCACAGCTGAATGTCATCCATCCTGGGGAAACAGGACACCGCCGTCAGCAGGTTACATTGAAAAGCATTCTACACCCCGAGCGCCTCCTCAATTTCAACAAAGAGAACTTGTGGGAAGGGGTGGCCTTTATAAAGGCCACACATGCTCTTTGTAGAAGTGTTCCCCCAAAAGAAGAAAAATAAAGGTTGCCCGATATCTCACTATTTAGAGACGATCAGTTACTATGAATAACACCTTGATAGTGATCCTCTAAGTCTTCATGTGCCCAGCTTTTGTTTGCTTGTATGAGCAAGCTCATGTGGCAGGTTCAGTGTATTCTTTTATCATCTTGTTGTTAAAATGTTTCAACATTACAGAAATTCACAGCATAGACCGAGAAAATCTCACTCTATCCTTTAGAGGTAACTATTTTCAACAATTTTGTATATATTCCTCCAGATTAAAAAAAATGTTTATGCTTATACTATCATATAACATATTGATATATACAAACACATGTTGCAATGTTCTAAAATTTAATGATATATCTTGGGCATCTTTTCACATCAGTACATGCAAATCTTCTCACTTGTAATGGCTGTATACTATTCCATTGTGTTGCTATACAGTGATTTATTTAACTCTTCCCATATTCATAGACATCTGGGTGGTTTCCTGATACATTTCTAGGATAAATTCCTAAAAAAAATAAACTCCTAGAAATGTAATTGCTGAGTCAAATATCATGAACATGTGCATTTTAATAGCAATTTTCAAACTGTCTACCAACAGTGTGAAAGGATGTTCACTCCCATAGTCTCAGTAATCAGGTTGCATGGACAATTTGCATTATGTAGTATGTGTGTGTGTGTGTGTGTGTGTGTGTGTGTGTGTGTGTGTTACAATATTAACTCATCTTATGGTAAACAATATTTGTAATGGCTGCCTGGAATTTCACCGAGTAGATTTATCAGGTCTGTTTTCATTATGCCTATATCTTAATTACTTAGGTGGGTTTTTCCAGTTATTTATGCTATTTTAGTCACTGTAAGATGAACATGGATCCACATAGGCGTCTTCTTCAGGTTGGATTATTTGGTGTGTGTGTGATGGGGGCTATAGAATCTCTGAATTGGAACGACCGAGTACAAAAGGCTTGGCATGTTTGGGGCCATTGATACATATTATCAAACCGCCTCCCCTTGAAGGAGGTGTGTGTGTGTGTGGGGGGGGTGTATATGCCTTTACTCTGCAAGTTTTTATTGAGCATTTACTATGCCCGTCACTGTCACAGGCTCCAGGGATGCAGTAGTTTCTCCTGCCCTCTTGAGCTGAAATTTAGGCAGAGGAGACAGTGGGTAAACAAAAACAAATGCTATGAAGGATAAAGCAAGAGAGGGGATGGAGTGGGCAGTTTGGACATAGCATCCTACCGTCCCAGGAAGAGACAGAGTGAAGTATTAATATTCTCAAAGGGCTCAACTGTGCCCACACAGCATATGAGGGTGGGGCCAGGACGAGAAATTAATCTGAGTCCACTGATCCGCCTCCTTCTGCAGCATCTTGGCCAAGAACTGGTCTGTTGCCTCCACAGTGTCATCCATAGACTAGCTCAGGGCCTCTGCCCTATGCTGGTCAAGCATTGCCCATGTTCCCCTTTTTAATCCCAGCATCCCAGCTTCCAGGACAAGAGGCAAGACCATCTCACGGTAGCCCGTGTCTCCTGTTGCCAGAGGCACTCCAGCCATTTGCCAGGTCCTCTCCTGGAATATCCTGGCAGGTGGCAGCTGCCTGGAATGATCTTGGGGAATTGCCAGACGGGTACAAACTGTTCCCATTGGTTCCTATGGGCGATTGTGCAACTAGTGGAGCTCCCGGGCCCTTTTTCACAGCAACTCTGCATATCAGGTTACATCAGTGGTTCTTAATGGGGACAATTTTGGTCCCCAGGGACATCTGACAATATCTGGAGACATATTTGGTTGTTATAACTGGGTGTGTGTGTGGGTGGGAGTGCTACTGGCATCTAGTGGGTAGAGTCCCAGGATGCTGCTCAGCACCCTGCAATGGGCAGGACAGCCCCCCTCAATAGAGAATTATCTGAGCCAAAGTGTCAATCATGCTGAAGTTGAGAAATCTAGGGTTGCACCATGGAATTGACACAGGTCCTGATCAATCATTTCTCAGAGATCAGAGAAGGGAGGATGGCGAAAGGAACTAAAGAGAGACAGGCAGTGGTTAGAGGCAAGAGTACTGACACCAAACAGCTTGGGGTGGGGGCGGGGGGAGGCATGTATCAGTGATTTAGCGTCTCTGAGTTTCTTTCCTCTTATTTAAAATAGAAATTTTAATAGTACTTCTCCCTAGGATTATATGCACATCAAGCATTGAGTATGTGCCTGGGACATACATAGTAAAATGCTTGGTAACTGTTATTATCATTAGTTGTTAGAAAGAAAGAAACAGGGAGAAAAAAAGAGAAAATGCTGCTGCACAAGCAGTTTATTTGACAAACGGAGCTAAAAGGCTCGACCTTAAAAACCCCCACAAAACCTTGATTGATTCTTTTTCTCTATGAAAGTTTTAAAATAACATTCCTATCTGATCATAGAACAGATCCCTGATCACTGTAGAAATTTTGGGGGGAAAAAAAACAAGTATGAAGAAGGAACCTAAAATTATGCCTAACCTTGACCCACGTGCACCCAGAGGTCACTGTTCACTCCAAGTATTTTGGTGTATTTCACACCAATTATTTTCATGCCTATAGCCCAGGTGTAGCAGACATGTGCCTTGGGTGGCCTTAGTCCATCTCTAAACTGCACTCGGCATGAGTTTGAATCCTCCCAAACACATCCAAATCCAGCACACATTAACAAGTGAAATGGAGTTCTGACGTTCTCACAGGGAGTCATGCTGAGGACTCCATAAAAATCCCTGCTGGACAGCACTGTGGTTTTCCTCAACTCTCCCTCTTGCTGCCAGCTTCCCATCTCTTTTCTTTCTCTCTCTTCCTCTTCCAAAGGCCTCATAGTCAGCTTTGAGGAAGGTCAGCTTTGGTCTTCGACTTACAAACCCCAGTTGGCAAAAGCAAAGATTAGTGGTTCCTGAACATTTCCGCAGGAAAGGAGCATGTCCTCCCCCGACTCCCCCCAACACACACACACACACACACACACACACACACACACACACACACTCCAAGCTGTCTATCAGAGCATTCCGCTAATGAAAAATCAGATCATTTTCTGGAAGATGGAGGGATGGGTTTCACCACCAAAGGAAATAAAAAGTCAATGTTTATTGAACATGTACTATGCGCTGGTCATTTGTCCTCAGCACTTTCCATGCATAAACTCATCTAAATCTTCACGGCAGTCCTGTGAAAGAGGTACTGTTTTTTATTTCCATTTTATAGAAGATAAAATAGAAGTTAAGCAATGTGCCCAAAATCCCACACCGGTAAGTGGATGTTGGGATTTAGCCCAACTTTGTGCTCCTGATCACTTCCCCATGGTGTCTCCCCCACTTGGCTGTATGAGTTGCCGCTGACATGGTTGGTTGCCCACATAACTGGCCTTCCTCTTCCGAGAGCCCCGACTTGTTTAGGAGGCAGTGTCTCCATCCCTTGATGGAAGCCAGTTATCTCAGTCTGTTCAGGCTGCTACAACAAAATACCATAGGTTGGGTGGCTAACCTATGATATCTCAGATCTGAAGGGCTGGGAAGTTCAAGATCAAGGTGTTAGTTGATTTGGTTCCTGGTGAGGACTCTCTTCCTGATGTGCAGATCACCACCTTCTTGCTATATCCTCACATGCTGGAGAACGAGATCGCTCGTCTCTCCTAAAAGGGCACTAATCTCATTCACAAGGGCTTTGCCCTCGTAACTTATCACCTCTCAAAGGCCCCACTTCCTGCCCTGGCCAGGTCGCTCAGGTGGTTGGGGCATCGTCCCATACACCAAAATGTTGAGGGTTTAATTCCTGGTCAGGGCACATATGGGAGGTATGTTTCTCTCTCTCTCTCTCTCTCTCTCTCTCTCTCTCTCTCTCTCTCTCTCCTCCACTCCCTCCCTTCCACTCTCTAAAAAAAGCAATGAATAAAATATATCCTCAGGTGAGGATTAATAAAAAACAAAAGAAAGAAAATGACATAGTTGGAAGCCCTAGTGGAAACCAGCAGAGACCATGAAGTGAAAGCTGAAGCAGACTGACAGGGGAAAGGATTGACTTTTTAACATTTATGTGGATCCTTCCTTTATCATTTGTGGATGCGGTGGACATCTTGGGGTGGCTGGGAAGAAGAAATGCCTGGTCACAGAGATGGAGCATTGGTCTGTGATGTGAAGCCTGGATCTGAGTCCAAGTCCTACCACAAACCTCCTCTATGACTAAAAGAAAAACTCTGATTTTCTATTCACTCTGCACATCTGACACCAAATTGTGGGTTTTTCCACACCAAGAAATTCTCCAGTTCTCAGTGGACACCCACTGGGTATCTACAATCTAACTCAATTCTGATACTCACTGCCCAGAGTTAGCACAGACCCCACAGGTTAAGGGCTCAGGCCTACTTCAGATGCCAATCAAAAGTCCAGGCCACCAATACTTCTGGCCAACTCACTATGAACTGGTGTTTCCAGGAACCCCTCTTCATGTTCTATAATTTGCTAGAACTGCTCACAAAACTTAGGAAAACATTTACCTGCATTCACTAATCCTACATAATAAAAGCCTAATATGCTAAGTGTCCAACTGTTCATTTGATCGTTCAACCAGTCGCTATGATGCACACTGACCACCAGGGGGCAG